AAAGTCTGGGTGGCCACTTGTTTGGGTAAGTCCTAGAGGGGATTCTTGTTCAGCATGGGTTGAACAAGATGTCCACTGAGGTTCCTTGCAGTTCCTAGAGTCCATGAACCAGGTACCTAGAGATGTGAAAGGACTTGTCCAAGGTCACCCAGTAGTTTGTTGGGATTCACAGTCAGGCCTCCTGAATCACACTCGCCACTCTTTCTGTTATGTGACACTCAGTCCCCTTTGTACCTCCCCACTTGTGCCTAGCATGGTACCCAAGACTAATTCCTTTTATGACTCTCCATAGGGTGGAGCACAGGACTCAGCACTTGTTAAGTCTTTAATGAGTATGTTTTGAATGAAAGAATAAACCCAGGTTCTCTGACTTTCCAAACCCAGGGCTTCTTCCATTACACCATACTGAGATGATAAGAACGGTATAGAAATGTGAGTGATAATTATGTTAACTCCCGCCTTTGAGAAACTCCAGTCTCAAAATGGAAGAGGGAGTGAGGAATGAGATGGACAGGAATCAAGAAAATATAAGAGTGAATAGTTTAAGAAATTATTAAAAATCTAAGCAAGATGGATCTCCTCTTCCTGCATCGGCTGAATGGCCAATATCATGGTTAGAAGATATCAATCAGTAACAATTCATGCCAGACTGAATAAAGCCACATGGAGTGCAGATGTTTTCAGTGTCCAGCAGAGCACCATACACCCACTTCTCCCTCCAATTTGTGGTGATAGGCTGAAAATTCCATTTCTAACCCCAATTCTCATTGGCTCACATGGATTTTATGACCATTTTTATGCTGATAAATCTAACTCACCTGCCCCAACTTCTCTGCTGACCTCCAAATGCCTTTCAGAATCTCCAACTGGATGTCTGTCCATCTTCAATTCAGTCCACCCAAAAGAGAACTCATTATATTTTTCTCTAAACTGCCCCTCACTCTGCCCCACTTCCTACCTTTCCTACCATCCTCCCAGTCCCTTAGGCTCCACAACCTCAGAATCATCCTAAATTCCTCACTATGCCTCACCCTACAAATCCAATATGGTGCAAATCCATCTCTGAAATTTCATCCCTTGAATATGTCCTGACACTGTTCCAACTCTAGAGTAAGCCCTTATCATCTTATACCTGGACTATTGCAACAGCTGCTGGGGGCATCTGCCTGCCTCAAGTCTCTTCCCACTCCAGTCCATCCTTCATTCGGCCGCTAAAATGATTTTCCTGAAGTGCAGATTTGACCATGTCATCACCCCCCTCCCCCCGCTCCATAAACTCCAGGTGGATCCCTATCACCTCCAGGATCAAATACAAAATCCTCTGCTTGTCATTCGAAGCCTTTATAACCTGACTCCCTCCTCCCTTTCCAGGTTGCTTACACCTTACTCCCCTCCATGGATTCTTTGATCTAGTGACTCTGACCTCCTGGCTGTTCTATGAACAAGACAACTTCATTTCTTGGTTCTCGGCATTTTCTCCGGTTGTCTCTTATGCCTGGAATGCTCTTCCTCTTCCTCTTTACCTCTTGGCTTCTGGCTTCCTTCAAGTCCCAGCTGAAATCCCACCTTCTATAGGAAGCTTTCCCAACCCTTTTAATTCTAGTGTCTTCTCTCTCTTAATTTTTTCCTATTTATCCTGTATATAACTTGTTTGTACATATTTGTTTGCTTGTTGTCTGCCCTGTTAGATTGAGAGCGAGTACTGTCTTTTGACTCTTTTTGTATCCCCAGCGCTTAATACAGTGCCTGGTGCTGGCACACAGTAGGCTCTTAATAAATGTTTATTGACTGACTGACTTCTTGAAATTCCCTCATTGTGGTTTTGGGCTATTCTGGCAATACAAATCAGTCCACCCAAGTGGGTTGTTATTCTTGTAGGCACCACTGAGTGGTAGCCTCTAGCCTTGGAAAAAAACAAAACAAAACAAAAAACTTGTCCTGCGTCCAAGCTGGGATAAAAACAGGCTGCCCCTGAGGACCAGTTCTCTAGTCTGACACTGACTTTCACTGTCCTCATTGCTAACAGGATTGCCCTAAGCCCAACCTAGCCTGGGACCTGTCTCAGGCTAGCACTCACGAGGACCCAAATTATGACTACGAAACCACTTTGTTTCTGGGATGTTCTAGACTATGGGAGTGGATTCTGTTGCTGATTGCCATTTGAAGAACAAGGACTTACACCAGAACTTGGTGCCAAACCTGATTCCCAATTCTGAATTAAGTGAATTGGCTGACTGTTTTTTGTTTTTAAAATGATCTTATCACATCATGGTTGTTTCCGGAAATATTCCCCTTCTTCTCTCAAAATCGAGCCCTCCCTTGCAATAGAGAAAAACAGTTAAATGAAAACACCCAATGCAGTGACTATCTGATGATGTTACCACCCTTCTGCCTCTGCAGTCCGTCGCTTCCCTACTGAGAGGAGAGAGGTTTCTTTTTATTATCTATTCTCCAAGACCACAATTACTTTCTTAGTCTAATAGTTTATACTGTAATTACTGTGTGTATTGGTTTTCTGATCCAGCTTACTTTATCCTGTATCAGTTCATTCAAATCTCATGTTTCTCTGAATTCCTCAGTCATCATTTCTTATAACAATAACATCGTGTTGCCGTCATATCTCACGGTTTACTCGGCTTCTCTCCAGTCAGTGGAGTTTGTTTCCTGTTCTTTGGATATTTTGATATATGCTGGTCTTTTGTTTCTGTCTTAGATTCCTTTGGAATTCATGCCTCCTCATGGAATAGTGTGGGTCAAAGACAATGAATAGGTAAGTCCCTTTTTCTCACACAATTCCAAATTGGCATCCAGGATGGTTGCTCCACCAAACCCACCAATTTCCATCAATCCCAGCTCTACCAACAGTGTATTGGCATATGGCTGACATTATTTGCCTCTTTTCTACCAACATTTCTATCAATTCTGCTTGCCCTTGAGAAGAGCAGTAGAATGTGATGGAGGGAGCTCTGGACCTGGAGGCCGAGGACCTTGGTTGGAGTCTTGGTTCTGCCTTTTATTAACTGTGTGACCCTGAGAAAGTCACCTCCCCTCTCTGGGGCTCTGTTTCTTCCTTTGTAAATAGGGGGGTGGGGGTCAGGTTGGACTAGGTGTTCTCCGAGGTCCTTTCTAGTCCAACATTTCTGTGATCATGATTCTGTGAAATAGTGCCTATAAATGGCAGTAAATGAGGAGGGAAGGAAGGAGTGACTTGCAGAGAGGGACTGGATGTCTCCCAATGTCCTAGTGTGGTCATAACCTGCCCAAAGTCTTCTCATTATCTAAGGTCTAGTCGGCACGAGATGGGTAGGCTTGGAGTGGGTGTGTGTGTTTGTGAGGAGGTCAGGAGGTTGGGAGAGTTGATCTTCAATCCTTCCAAGGTGAGCTAAATTCTGGTTAATAGGAACGCTTCCCATTCGGCTATACTCTGGACTTGATGAAATGTTCAGTGGTACCTGCTTCGCGACTCCTTCCCCAGAGGACCCTGAGAGCTGAAGGCACGTGCCTAGGGCTCCGCAACCAGTTTGTCAGAGAGAAGACTTCTTGATTCTGAGGCTGGCTCTCTACCCACTGTTGCTGTTTGGTCTTTTTCCAGTTGTATCTGACTCTGTGACCCCCTTCGGGGTTTTCTTGGCAAAGATGCTGGAGTGGTTCGCCACTTCCTTCTCTAGCTCATTTTATAGATGAGAAAACTGAGGCAAACAGGGTAAAGTGACTTACCCAGGGTCACACAGCTAGTAAGTGTCTGATTCTGAGAGATGAGTCTTCTTGACTCCAAGCCCAGCACTTTATCCACTGCACCACCTAGCTGCTGTATTCTCTCCTCACTATAATATCATACTATTTCTTGAGGTTTGGATTACAACCCACTTTTTCCATAGGGGGAAACTGAGCTCCAGAGAGATGAAATCCCTAGCTTCCTTCAAGGAATGTGGTATCTCCTACCAGAAGCCTTGGTGGTCAGTGACCTCCTCCTCTTCAGATTATCATATAAATATCAATCTGTTTACTTGTCCCATTTCTCCTCCCTGCACCCCCCCCCCCCAAGTAAGCATCTATAAGGCAGGAATGGTTTTCCTTTTTTTGCCTTTGCCAGTCACCCAACTGGGCAGTGGAACGGGTGAGACCCAAACCTCCTGGCTTTTCCTCCAGTCTCCTTCCTCTGTACTGGGCTGGGAAAGAATCTAAACAGAAAAAAAAGAAAAAAAAACCCCACCACAGCAAAAACCCCAGAGAAAACAGGGCATGTGTTTGCCAAACAAGCTGGCCATCATTCCTTTGCAGGGAGGGATCCAAGCATCCCCTTTCTTTTGCAGAAGCTGTGCGTCTCCTAGAGCTTGGCTCCAACCAAAATTGAGGAACATTCATTTGGCAGTGAAGCCGGGGGTGCTGCTCTGAGTGCAGGCTGGATTGGAGAGGGGTGCTGAGGGAGGCAGGGCCAGCATGGCCATTGGAGTATTGGAGCATTGAAGCAGCCAGGCTGCCTGCCTCTCCTAGCTGTCCAGAGTATTTCCAGCTCCATGTAGAAGGAGGAGCCTGGAATGCCTGGTGGGCACACCTGGACTCACATAGCAGCCCCGGGGCTTGAGCTTCTGAGGCCAATCTCCTGGTGGGGTGCCATCTCAGCAGCCGGCCAGCTTGTTTCAAGGTTCACTCTCTCATAACCACTGTGCCTCATCCCTTCTCAGCTCTAAGCACATGGTTACGATTTATCTCCTTTCCCTCTGCTTAGCAGTTACCATTTCTGCCTTGTTCAGGCATCTCTCCAACCCTTGAGGGGGCCCTTGGAGCTGGGAGATGATGTGCCAAGCAGGAGGCCTGTTGCTTTTGGAAAAATTAGGAAAAAAAAGTCCTCCCACTCCTCCCTCCTCCTTGCCTCCCCCTCATTCCCCACCCTCCAGCAGTGAGGTAGGAAAAGTGAGAACAAGTGACATCATGGATGGGAGGGACCAGGAGCTCTTATTAAAGAAGAGAGCTAGCTCACAGACAGCGAGACAGGCTCAGCAGCTCAGCTCAGCTCAGCTCAGTCTAGCCCAGCCCAGCCCAGCCTGGACCAGCTGTTTCCTTCCCCACTGATGGCCAGTCTCAGCATGACCAACAGCAGCTCAGAGCTGCCAGGCTTCCGGGCCCTGGATGCCTCTACTGTGCGTCTTCTGCAGCCTCTCTGGGACATGATCAAGGCCAGAGAGGGGCTGCTGCAGTCCCCCTTCTTCCCAGTCCTCTTCTCTGGTACCACCTACGTGGCCTTCTGCCTACCTTTCATCGTCCTGGACTTTGTGAGCTACAGGGTCCCAGCCCTGAGGAAGTACAAGATCCATCCTCATTTCTACCCATCTGCAGGGCAGGTTCTGCTGTGCTTACTGCACACGGTCTATCAGCACGTGGTCTTCATCTTCCCTGTGACCGTCCTCCGCTGGCACTGGGGCCCCCAGACCTGGCCAGCAGCGGCCCCGGGTCTCTGGGAGCTCCTCTACCATGTGACTGTGTGTCTCCTGCTCTTCGATGCTGAGTACTTTGTGTGGCATGTGCTGCATCACAAGGTCCCCTGGCTGTATCAGACCTTTCACAAGGTCCACCACAAGAACACATCCCCCTTCGCCTTGGCCACGCAGTACCTGAGCGTCTGGGAGCTCTCCTCCCTGGGCTTCTTCGACTGTCTGAACCCCACGCTGCTCGGCTGCCACCCACTGACCACCATGACCTTCAACATAGTCAACATCTGGCTGTCTGTGGAAGACCACTGTGGCTATGACTTTCCCTGGTCCACGCACCGGCTAGTGCCTTACGGCTGGTATGGCGGAGTGTCCCACCACGACCTGCACCACAGGAAGATAAACTGCAACTATGCCCCATATTTCACCCACTGGGATAAGCTATTGGGGACTCTGAGCTTGGGCTACTCTGCAGGAAATCCCCCAACCCCTGCCCCTTGGAACTGAGCCCTCCTTGGGGGTACAAGGTGAAAAAAAGAGGAATTTATTTTAAGTGAAAGATTATTGTCTAGTTAGAATCTATGAGAGATGGGATTTCATGTATTTTTACAGTCTGAGCATATTTATTTTGTACAAGAAGAATGCAAAGTTATATATATATATATAATATGCATATGTATAAAATACATAGAAATCTATATGTAAATATCAGTGTCTAAATAAGCCGAGAAAACGGTGTAGACTTGACCTTGAATGTCAGCCCTCTGAGGATCGGGATTCAGTACCTGGCACTCTGTTGCTGTGACAGCCTGGGGATGCTGTCTCTTCTTGGGCATTGCTCCACCGGGTCTGACACCCTGAGACTAGCTGGACGAATGAAATTGCTTGTGAGAAAGCATTTCCCCTGTGCTGAAACGTGTCCCTGAGCCAGGATAGCACGCCGCCCCCACCCACCCCAATGAGTTTTGTAGATCGTCTGTCTGACTCGTCTATTTATAATCTATGGAGCTGATTCCTGCTGGACAGTGAAAAAGCCAAGAGGATTTTTCTATTTTTCCTTTCTTTGTACTGTGACCTGTATTTATACTGCACTAACCAATGTGATGTTTGTGTTTCTGATTTTTTTTTTCAAAAAACAAAAACAAAACAGACAAAACAAGCCCTGTGTTGTGTGTTTGGCATCTTGAGTTGGGGGCACTGATTTTTGTTCCCCAGAGTTAGTCTGTTACTTATGGCCTGTGTGGATATGGGCAAGTATCTTCCCCCCTCTGTGCCTCAGTTTCTTTCTCCGTAAAAGGAGGGTGCATTGGACTAGAAGATCTTCAGGAGCCCTTATAGCTGACCAGATTCAATGCTCTGGTAATGCCAGCCCATAGAAGGGAGGGAAAGGGAAAAGAGTGGAGAGAGGATGCTGCTGTGTGAGTCTGCTAAGCGACTGGACTGCCAGGACTGAGCTGGTGCTGGTGGAATGCCTGCCCACAGGGCAGGGTGGGGCAAAAGGTCCGAGGGAAGTGCTTTTGTTTCTTCTTAAAGGGGAGGGGAAGGAGGAAGGCTTTCTTGGGGTGAAGCTGGAGGCTTCTGCAGAGCAGAAAAGGGGGCATGGAGCAGATGCCTTTGTCACCCCTGACACCTCCCGAGGGCTGCTCAGACGACTTCAGCATGAAGGGCAAGTAGTTGGGTGGGTAGTGCAGCCCCAGAGTTCAGGGTCCCAGGAACTCTGCCATTAGCCAAGCCTTGGAAGAATTCTCTGGTATAAAACAAGGCTGCAGGAAAGAAAGGGCATGCCTTGTTTGATAGGGTTTCTGAAAGCTCTTTATGAACTAAAAAAATAAAATCCATTGAGCCACATTTAAAATGCACTAGAGGATCTGTGTTTTAAAGAACTCAGGGTAGTATTGGGAAATGAGGACTGACTTTGAAGGCAGAGGCGATGGGCTCAGCTTGGGCAGTTCCCTTTGCTTCCTGAGGAGGGGAAGGCTTAAAGGATTGGAGGTCTGGTCTGAGGACTAACAGAGACCTCAGAGGACCCCTGTCCACCCCCTTCATTTTAGGGATGGCACTGAGGCCCAGAGAGGCTCTGATTTACCCAGGGGCACCAGGTGGCAGGTAGCAGAGCTGGAATTTGAACCCAGATTCTCCAACTCCAAATCCATGTTTCCTTGTGTTGTACCAAATGTGAAAACAAGAACAAACGGTCCGCGGAGCAAAGATGCATGTCTGCCAAGAAAGGGGCAGTGACTATGTGAAATGCATGCTGCAGAGTTTGAGAAGGACGAGTCATCTGTCTTTTTAGCTCTTTCTAGGTCGAAATTCAGTCATTTGGGCTATGGGACAATCTCTGAGGTGCCTTTCTTTTTGCAATCATTTTATAAAATGGGGAATCTTGTTTCTAATGCAAACATTCCCTTCCTGTTTTAGCAGCCCTGTCACTTGAGCTTTATATATGTCATTCTATCAAGCATCTACCTATCTTTTAATGCGTCTTTCTATCTGTCTCTGTCTATCTATTTACCTTTGTGTCAGTCTATCTATCCATCTATCCATTCATCCATCTGTCTATGGCCTATCTGTCTGTCTGTCTGTCTGTCTATCCCATTCATCCACCCATCTATCTATCTATCTATCTATCCATCCATCCACCTGTCTATCTATCTATCTATCTGTCTGTCTCTGTCTAGCTATTCCATCCACCCATCTATCCACCCATCCATCCATTCATCTATCCATCTATCCCTCTATTTATCTAACTCTCTCTACATTTCTGAAAGCAACACAGTCAAGCAGAAAAGCTTCTAGTCAGAGTGCTAAGGTGAAGCAGTGAAATGTGGGGCAAAATAAATGCCGGACCAGAATTCAGGAGATCTGGGTTCAACTTTTGCCTCTGCCACTAGCTGGCTGAATGGCCTTGGAGAAGTCATGGAAGCTCTCTGAAATGACATTTCTTCCTTTGGAAACAAAGGCGTTGGACTAAGTTACCTTCCGGCTCTGTCATTGTATGTCTGTAAATGTCATTATCTCATCTCGAGAGTTAGCGTGACACAGTGGCCCTGGCAAACTCACTTCCCTTTTCTGGGACTCAGTTTCTTCATTTATGAAGTGTGTGGGGGTGGGGTTGGACCTGACAGCCTCTGAATCCCTTTATCTTCTTTGAGCAAGAAATGTTTTCAGGGACATTAAAGAACCCTGGGACGATTTCTGTGAGGGCCCCACAGGTGGCTGTGGCTTCTGCCCAAGAGACACGTTCTAAAGCTCAAAGCTAAGATGGTTCAGCCTGAAAAGCCCAGAGCAGGTTTCAGTCCTGAGATCCTCAGCTTGGTCCTGGGGAGGCCAGAATGTCTAGACTGATAGAGGACAGCTCAGCTAAACGAGTGCCTCACCGGTCTCTGTGCTGACCCAGCCTGGATGCCGAGGACCATCCTGAGCATGCCCTGAAGCAAAGGCCTGGAGGGCTGACTGGAGTTTTCACTCTTCAATGCTCCAGGAGGGTGGATGGCCTTTGTATAGACTTAGCCCTGTGTGCTTGGATTACCCTTCTGCATTGCAGAGGCAGGAGCTTAGGGGACAGTGTCAACTGTGAGGAAGACAAGGCGATGTAGAGAAGAATCAAAGTCAGCTGGGACCGGGAGGAGGTGGGGCGTCTTGCAAGTGCTGGATTGCATGAGAATACGGAGAGGAAATGGGAGGAAGAAGCAGGGAACAGAGCAACGCTATGTGGGGGAGTGTGATGTGAGTGAATAAAGAGGTGATGGATGTTTTAGCTCAGCAACTTCAAAGGACAGCCTGCAGAGACCTGGCCTTCTTGGGGGGGAGAGAAGGATGAAAGCCACTTCTGATGAAACGCTGCCATGGGAACAAGGGACTGCACTTGTTCTACGTGGCCCCAGAGGGCAGAACCAGGGCAAGGGAAGGCAATTTCCTAACCCTTAGGGCTATGCTAGTTGGAAGCAGCAAGGTGGCTCAGCAGATAGCATGCTGGCCCTGGAATCAGGAAGTCCTGAGTTCAAATCCAGCCTCAGACACTTCCTAGCTGTGTGACCTCCACCAAGTCACTTCACCTCTGCCTCCTTCAGTTCCCTCAACTGGGGACAATGGGAATAGTAATAGAACCTACCTCATTGTATTTGTAAAGCATTTAGTACAGTGCCTGGCATACAGCAGATGCTTAATAAATGCTTCCTTCCATCAGACACAAAAGTGGAATGGTATGGGCTGCCTTGGAAGGCAGTGAGTTCCCTTTTACCAGAGGTCTTCACGCAAGGGATGGATGAGCAGTTGATGGTATTTTGTAGAGAGGATTCTTGTTCAGGCACAGGTTGGACGTGGGGAAAACTTTCTCAAGAAAGTGGCAGGAGCTGCTAACCGAGGGGATGGATTTCCCAGCATTGGAGGACTTCAATCATAGGCTAGACTATTCAATATAATGGAAGCTCCTTGAGGGTCAGGGATAGTTTCATTTTTGTCTTTGGATTTCCAGTGTTTAGCCATATAGGCATATGTCTGTGCCTGGCATATAGGCACTTAATAGATGATTATTGATTGATTGATTGATAGGGTTTCTTGTTCAGAATTTCATTGAACTAGATGGGCTCTGAGGTTCCTTGCAACGGAGATTCTGGGAATAAACTTCAGTGCCCAGGAAATATTCTATTGGAATGGGGATGAAAATGTCTCCTCTTTGGAGCTGCCAGTCAGTCTCTGCAAATCCCATGAACTAAAGTCGCTTTTCTTTGCTCACAGATGTCATTTCCCTTTGCACAGGACCTATATTTCTCTATGCCTCCCATCATTACTATGTCTAAATAGCATGAAATACTAATCTGCTCTCCACCCATTTTCATGTCATGGTATCCCCGAGTACACTTTCTTTGCCCCCTTCTCCTTCTTAACTTTCCACCTCCAACTTTGGGAGAGTAAGCCAATCAAGGATACCATCCCTCAAAATGACCCAGCTCAATCCTAGTGACTCCATTCACTATTCTCATGAATTCCTTGGCTCCCAGTCCCTATATATAATGTAATATTACATTACACTGTAAGCTCCCTGAGGGGAGGGACGATCTGTCTTTTGGAGTTGTTCCCCCAAAAGCCTGGCACACGGTGAAAATTTAATAATGCCTTTTTCCTTTATTCATGAATAGGTTTCTATAATATAGAATATATTCTAATATATATGTTTCTACAACAGGAAGTCAGACCAGATGATTTTCCTGTGGCTTTTCTAAGTAAAGATGCGTCATGGGGTCAACCAACCATTCAGAAGAGATTAATGGCAGGTTCACAGCTGGGATGCAGATGAGGCTGCAGACACATATGGGCAGGGTTAGTTAGGGTTCAGAAAAACAGACTCTCAAAAGCCAGTATTTCCCCCCACCCTCTAAGCAAAAGAACTTCTGGAAAAATGGGAAAAACCCACTCATTGACTGTCTAAGTCTCTCGTGGGAATCCTCTGTGGTTTAGGAGACCCTCCACTCCTGGATTTGCCCTGCTGTCTCCCATTACTAGGGCTTGCCATTTCTACATATGGCCTCTGCCTACCCCTCCACCCCTCCGGTTCTGAAGTGACTATGTCATTGGTCAGGACCTCTGCCCCAATGGTTTCTTTGGGGAAAGGTGAGAAAGGTCAAAGGGAGACCCAGAAAGAGGTGCAGGCTAAGCCAGGTGGCTTCAAGGATTTTAGGGGCGTCCCAGTGCTGAAGAAAGATTAGATTTGTCCTGTTTGGACCCAGAGGACAGGAACCAAGTGCATTGGGGGCAAGTTATAGGGAAGCAAATGTCACTTCCTACCAAAGTGGAAAGGGGGCACCTCAGGAGGTCTGGGGCTCCCTCCTCTTGAGCTTTTCAAATGAAGGCTAGAGGGACATGAGTTGGGATGTCACCAAAAGAAGTCTTGTTCACAATTTGGACCAGATGACAATAATCGCTAGCATTTACATAGTGCTTTGAGGTTTGCAGAGTGCTATACAGATGCCATCTCATTTGAGCCTTAAAACAATCTTTTGGGGGGTAGATACTATTATTACTACTCCCATTTTACAGATGAGGAAACTGAGACTGAAAGGATTTAACTGACTCACCTAGGGTCACACAGCCAGTAAGTGTCTGAGACAAGATTCAAACTTAGGTCTTCCTGACTCTAAGGCTGGCATCCTGCCCACTA